CGCCATCTATTGGGGCGCTGGGGAACGACGGTCAAAACGGACCCATTTTCTATGATGCTCGCGAAATAAAAATCGCTAGCGCGAAGGGGGGACTTAATTAATCAGGCGAGAGAAACCGTAGGCCACCCCTCCACCTTCGTTAATTTTTCTCTCTATCTCCATCTCCCGTGCAGAAATAAATACGCAATATCAGGGTAGCCTTACGGCCCAGTGGAATTAAAATCACCATGATCTTCCACAAGATTAAGCAAGAATTATGCGATCTCAATAGACGACAAGGAAACAAAAAAAACGACAACTGCACGAAATCTGAATAAACAAACAGAAGCTGGGGCTCGACCAGGCTACGTAGGAGGCCAATTATCACTTTGCAATTAACTTCGCGAGGAAATCAAATTCCTCTTTTGATTATTCTATTATTCTTTTCAAAGGAGATATTTGTAAACGATAAATGGGAAGCGATAACACAAAATAATGGTGATTTCTACAATGCTTGATAACAATGAAAATAATAAAAAATAAAAGTGATGACAATGCCTTACTGCGATTTAGTAAATACAGTATATACTGAACTAAATACATATGCATAAATGTATGCATACATATACATGTGTAAACGCGCGCGCGGGTGTGTACGTGAGCGTGTGCGTGTATCACAAGAGGCACAAGTAAAAGCATCGGTGCCCACCTTCGAGGCAGAGGACCAGTTGGGCAGGAAGTCTACCCTCTTCGCCGCCTCCTCCGCCCTCTCACCTGCAGGTTTATCTCATCTCTTCTCTTCTCTTCTCTTCTCTCCCTGCTCTTCTCTTCTCTCCTCCCCCCTCCTCTCTTCCCCTCTAATCTCCTCTTCTCTCTCCGCCGCCTGCCCGCCTCGCCCGGACCAATCCCACCCTCAACCAAACAACAAACCAAACCAACCAAACCAACCTAAACAAACAAACACACGAACCAAACAAACTCGCAAAGCACAACCCCCGAGAACAAGAACACCAAAGCGACGCCTCTAAATTACTCCTTGTTCATCCAACCTTGAAAGAACACGCAGAAGCACTTGCCAGGGCAGCTCTTAACGCTGATGAAAGTCTGTTCTTCCGTTTCTGCCAAGATACACTGACCCAGAGAGGGAAGGCGGAAGAGGCACTTATAAAAATAAAGTTTTAAAAAAATGCATATATATTGACATTAATAATAAATCACAGTAATCATAAATTACTGAATAAAATTAAAAGACAGTACAAATAACAACGAAGATTACCATCATCATCATCATCACCATCATTATTATTATCATTATTATTATTATTATTATTATTATTATTATTATTACTATTATTATTATTATCATTATCATTGCGCCTATACTTGCTATAGGCCTGATAATTCCTCTGGCTAATTCTATAACAATTAACACTGCCGCCCTGATCATTATCAATCTTTGCACTTATTATCTTTATCATCAACATAAATAAAATCATCATTATTACGATTACTATCATCACTTACTATCTTTACGGCATTTCACTCTAAAACTAAAACATGTGAACAAATGAATTCATGAAAAGAAAGACTATTGACCAAGAAACAAATACCATGAAATAAACGCTGCGTGAGATTTGCAATTCCTGATATAAACAAGGTTCTCGTCATCATTTCTATATATATATATATATATATATATATATATATATATATATATATATATATATATATATATAGTATGTGTGTGTGTGTGTGTGTGTGTGTGTGTGTGTGTGTATATGTATATATAGGTTTTTCTTTAACCACTGGTAAAATAAACAGTAAAAGTAAAGTGAAAAAGTAAAGTGGAGAACACAAACCTCTCTCAAAGGGAAACGAAAACAAAAAACGAAAACGAAAACAAAAACAAAAAATAAAAGAGCATCGCCAAATCAAACAAAACAAAACTAGGCTCACGTGTTAGCGTGTGCGCGCGCGCGGAAAGAAAGAAACAAACAAACAAACATCAAAACAATTTTCCTATAAATGCCAAAAAATAATCCCTTTACCAAAAAAAGAAGAAAAAAAGAAAGAAAGAAAAAGAAAGAAAGAAAGAATAGAAAAAAAAAACACGAAAAAAAAAAAAAAAAAAAAAATAGAACGAGCACCCAGCCCTTCATCCTTTTAAAATCCGCCCTCAATGGACTCCACCAGAAAATGACACAATAAATTCCGCCGAGTGAAACGGGAACAGCACCTGAGAGCGCATAATGGCGACAGCTCCAAGCGCCAGCACTGAACGGCCCGACACAACCTCGATTGCCCAAACGAGAGTAATAAAAACCCGGAAAAAAAAATGGCCGATGAAACTAATGAGCTGTGAGTTTGCGGGGAGATGGGGAGGGAGGGAGGGGGGGAAGGGAGGGGAGGGAAGGGAAGGGAAGGGAAGGGAGGGAGGGGAGATGGAGAGGGAGGGGAGGGGAGATGGAGGGGAGGGGAGAGAGTAGAGGGAGATGGGGAGGGAGGGAGGGAGGGAGGGAGG